ACACAGAGAAACACAGAGACACACGCAGAGACACGCACAGAGACACACACAGGGAGACACACAGAGACACACGCACAGAGAGACACACAGAGAGACACGCAGAGAGAGACACACAGAGAGACACACAGAGAAACACAGAGACACACGCAGAGAGGGACACGCAGAGAGAGACACACAGAGACACACAGAGAAGGACACACAGAGAAAACACAGAGACAACACGCAGAGACGACACACACAGAGACACACAGAGACACACGCAGAGAGAGACACGCAGAGAGCGGAGAGACACACAGAGAAAACACAGAGACACACGCACAGAGAAACACACAGAGACACACACACACAGAGACCATACGCACAGAGAGGGACACACAGAGAGACACACAGAAACACACCCCCAGAGACACACGCAGAGAGGGACACGCAGAGAGAGACACACAGAGAACCCAGAAGGACACACGCACAGAGAGACACACACAAGGACACACAGAGACACACACAGAGACACACACATAGAGACACACACAGAGACACACAGAGACACACGCCCAGAGGGACACACACAGAGACACACAGAAACACACACAGAGAGACACAGAGACACACACAGAGACCCCACACAGCGACACACAGAGAGACACGCAGAGAGAGACCCGCACAGACACACACAGAGAAACACGAGACACACGCACAGAGAGACACACACAGACACACGCACAGAGAGACACACGCACAGAGAGGACACACACAGAGAAACACAGAGACACGCACAGAGAGACACACAGAGGCACACAGAGAGACACGCAGAGAGGGACACGCAGAGAAGAGACAAGAGACACACAGAGAGACACACACAGAGAAACACAGTGACACACGCACAGAGAGACATACACAGAGACACACAGAGACACACGCAGAGAGAGACACGCAGAGAGAGACACACAGAGAAACACAGAGACACACGCACAGAGAGACACACACAGAGACACACAGAAACACACACAGAGACACACGCACAGCGATACACACAGAGAGACACACAGAAACACACACAGAGACACACGCACAGAGAGGGACAGTCAGAGAGAGACACACAGAGAAACACAGAGACACACGCACAGAGAGACACACACAGAGACACACAGAGACACACACAGAGACACACACAGAGAGACACACACAGAGACACACAGGAAACACACACAGAGAGACACAGAGACACACACAGAGACCACACACAGAGACACACAGAGAGACACGCAGAGAGAGACACGCACAGACACACACAGAGAAACACAGAGACACACGCACAGAGAGACACACACAGACACACGCACAGAGAGACACACGCACAGAGAGACACACACAGAGAAACACAGAGACACGCACAGAGAGACACACAGAGGCACACAGAGAGACACGCAGAGAGGGACACGCAGAGAGAGACACAGAGACACACAGAGAGACACACACAGAGAAACACAGTGACACACGCACAGAGAGACATACACAGAGACACACAGAGACACACGCAGAGAGAGACACACAGAGAAACACAGAGACACACGCAGAGACACACGCACAGCGAGACACACAGAGAGACACACACAGAGACACACGCACAGAGAGACACACACACAGAGACACACACAGAGAGACACACAGAGAGACACACAGAGACACACGCACAGCGAGACACGTACGCACGTACGTGTGCGGGCACGTACGTCACCAGAAAACGGAGCTGGCAGAAGAGGAACGGGATACCGGCGGTGCACGGTAAACGTCGTCGGAAACGGGGGGGGGGGCGGGGGGTGCGGTGACGTTGGTGGGTGGGGGGCTGCGTTGACGTTTGGGGGGGGGGGCGGTTGTTGTCAGGGTCCCCCAGGTGAGATCATTCAGCCTCTGCCTCTGATGAGCTCCAAGAAGAACCGCCGCTCCGTGGACGGCTCCCAGCCTGACCGCGGCGAGGGGCCCGAGGAGGCGGCGGCGGAGGAGGCCGCTGACACGACCGGCGGCGCCGGCGGTGACCTCGACGAGATCTTCAACTCGCTGGGCGCCCTGAAGCGCGAGCTGGAGACCATCAAGTACCCGCTGGGCACGCGCGACAACCCCGCTCGCACCTGCACCGACCTGCGGCTCAGCCAGCCGGAGCTCACGGACGGTGCGGTGGGGCGGGCGCGGGCGCAAGCACGCGCACGCACGCACGCACACATACATACGCGCGCACGCACGCACATGCACACTTACACACGCACGCACATGCACGCATGCACACACGCACGCACACGCACACACGCGCGCACGCATGCACGCACGCACGCACATGCACGCACGGACACGTACGCGCACACACTTACACATGCACACTTACACTCACATACACGCACACAGACATACACACGCACACTTACACACGCACGCACACACACTTACACACGCACGCACACTTACACACGCACGCACACACACTTACACACGCACGCACACTTACACACGCACGCACACACACTTACACACGCACGCACGCGCACACACTTACACATGCACACTTACACTTACACATGCACACTTACACTCACATACACGCACACAGACATACATATGCACGCACGCACACGCGCACGCACACACACGCACACATGCACGCACGCACGCGGACACACTTACACGCACACATACACACGCGCACATACACACGCGCAGATACACACGCACACTTACACACGCACGCGCACACACATACACAACAACAACAACCGCCATTCGCCACTAAGTGGCGGTGACGTCACCACGATGCTTGTGCCAGGCCAAGTGCACCTTGAGGCCACGTGAAGTGTCGAAAGCCCGCTGGCAGGAGGTCACGGCCAGACCCAGGTGCCACTGGTCGACTGACCGAGATGACCGAGATGACTGGCTGATGCACCACCTGTGCCCCCTACTGTGCCAACTTGCTGTGCTTTAGCCACCCGGCGCTCCGCTCGTTGTTGTGAGCGTCGCTCCTCTGCCCTCCGTTGTTGTTGGAGGGCGACTGCCTCCAACTGCCCAGTAGCGTCCTTCACGAGCCTCCTCCACTGAGGCCGATCTTGACACCGCTGGTACCAGTCATCGGCAAGTCCACTCAGCTCCACGTCCTCCTGTACCACATCACTCCATCTCTTCTCCAGCCCGTGCCGCGCCCGTCTAGCCCCCTCGATCCGGCCGAACAAAAGCTGTTTAGGCATGCGGTGGCTGGGCATGCGGGCTACATGACCCAGCCAACGCAGCCTTGCCTGCCGGAGGAGCTCACTGATGGGACTTTGCCCAGATCTTTCAAGGATTTGTGAGCTCCTCACACAATCCAGCCTGGTTAAACCCAGGATGGATCGTAGGCAGGCCAGCCTAAATGTTTCCAACCGGCGAAGATGCTCCACCAGGGGGGTCCACGTCTCGCAAGCGTAGAGAAGGGAGGGAATGACCGTGGCCGAGAAGACCTGAAGCTTCGTGCGGAGCGACAGACCAGGTAGCTTCCACACAGCGTTACGCAACCGATGAAAAGATATTGCCGCTCGACTGATTCGGAGTGAGACCTCTGCTGATAGACTGGAGCCGGTCATAAGCATACTGCCCAGGTATGGGAAACTCTCCACTCTCTCCACAACTGCCCCATCACCAATTGGGAGTTGTGGGGGTGGAGTGTCCGATGGTACAAAATACCCAGGCAGGTGCTTGGTTTTGGTGGGGCTGATGGTAAGGCCCCACCTCTTAGTGGCACGCTCGAGTCTCAGCAACAGCGCCTCCAACTCCTCTTCTGAATGAGCAGCTATTACCAAATCATCGGCATACATAACGTGGTTGACCAATAGGGAGCCATCCCTTGATCGCACCCGGGCGTCGATCAGCCTCCCATTATATCTGTACCAACGGAAATTCCCCCGGTACAGCTATTGAAGGCTTCACGAACTACGCGGTCAAAATAGATGTTAAATAATGTGGGAGCCAGAGGACATCCCTGTCGCACCCCAAGGTGTACAGGGAAAGGCTCCGACTCCCGGCCACGTTGTTTTACCCGGGCCCGCTCACCATCATGAAGGTCCTTAATGATCGTGAGCAGAGGGTCAGGGACTCCGAAAGCACGAAGAACAACCCAGAGTCCAGTCCTACTGATGGTATCATAGGCCTTGACCAGGTCAATAAAGCAGAGATGTAGGTCTTTTTGGAATTCCCTACACCTCTGCTGTAGCAGACGGACAGAAAATATGGCATCTGTGCAGGACCGCCCTTTCCTGAAACCGCATTGGGGCTCCGCAAGCCCCTCCTCAGCGTGCCTAGCAAGGCGATGTTGAATAATCCTTGCCAGGACCTTACCCGGCACACTGAGGAGTGAGATGCCCCTGTAGTTGTTACAGTCTGTGCGGTCCCCCTTCTTAAAGAGGGGGACCACCAGGGCATCCTTCCAGTCCTGCGGAACCCGTCCAGTGGTCCAGACTGTTGTTATGATGTCATATAGGACAGTCTGTGCACAAACGCCACCCCTCCCTCAGCATTTCGCTTGGGAGATCATCTCTGCCCGGTGCCTTCCCTGGTTCAGACTCCGGATCGCCCTCAGTACTTCCTCAACAGCTGGAACCTCAGCCAGCCACTCACAGGGGGTGACCTCTTCCATATTTGAGGCACCGCAGCCTCAGCAGGGTTATCCCCACTTTGTGCCATGATGTTTTCCTGGCTGAGAGAATTTCCCTCCCCCAGGACCTCACAGAAATGCTCAGAAAATCTGCAAACCTGTTCCTGGGGGTCGGAGATTGGATCACCGTTTTTTCCTCTAATGATGGTAATAGGTGTGGCGCTGCAGGTTACTTTTTTGATGGAGTTAAATAGTGATTTGTGATCACGGGCCACTGAGGCAGACTCCATCTCCTCAGCAACCCGCGACCACCACCCATCCTTACAACGCCTTACGGCTCTCCGAACTTCCGAGCGAAGGCTGCGGTAAACCTCCTCATTCTCTGACGTGGGATGCTGTAGGCGATGAGAGTGGGCCTGTCGCTTTTTCTCAATTAACCTGAACACCTCCTCTGTCAGCCAGGGTTTCTGGGGAGGTCTGGACCGCGTACCCAAAGCAGCCATTGCAGCTGCATGAGTCACAGTCTTAAACCTCGCCCATTTACCCTCGACATCAGGTGGAGTGGGGGACGATGCCAACC